TATATATATATATATATATATATATATATATATATATATATATATATTTGGCAACTGTGGCAACCCATCAAATATCTCTTCGAATAATGAAAGAATACCCATCATTCGATTTCTATCCTTGTCTTTTGATAGAATGATGAATGTAATGAACGGCATTGAATAGTAAAAATCACGAATTGGAGACTGAAAATTTTTAAAAAGGAATAGTCGGCTAGAAAATGAACGAATTTGTCTTGGAATTATTGTTTTTCCTTCAAATATGGGAATGTGGATATGAATATTTTCAAGTTTTATGACCTCATTTTAACGAGAAACAATGAAAAAATACAAGATAACGTCGGTGGGAAGAAATAAAAAATTTAATGGTTTCAATATCTCCGGAAAGTTTTAAAATTGATATATTTTTTCGAATAATGAAAATACCCATAAATTCGATTTCAGTCCTTGTCTTTCGAAAGAATAAATAGAATAAATGACGAAAATTAAGAATTGGAAAATGAAAATTTGATGCGATTATTATTATGTAATAATTCATGAGAAAATCTACGTACTTGTACCACTCCACAGTACACTTGTTCTTCTTATCCTGCTTCGTGAGACAAGCACTCAACTCAACAGTCTCTCCGTGCTCAACAGTCACAGTTCTCAATCCAGACCCGATCTTCGGTTTCTCAACTTCCTCCGGTAGTTCAGCAACCTCGACGACTTGTGAGGTAGCTTCACCCTTCTCGTTTCTCGCCACAAGTTTGTATTTACCCTTGTCGGCCGTTGAAACTTGCTCGATTTCAAGTTTAACAGCGAACTCGCCCTCCTTGATCTTCTCGACATGAAGTTTGTGCCTCTCATCGACTTGAACTGCTTGTGCTTCCTTGAACCACGTGCAGTCAGGAGCGAATTTCGATAGAACTGTGCATTCTACAATCACTGTCTTCTTCTTTATTATCTTGACGACCTTGGGCTTCTCCTTGATCACCGGAATAACTGGGAGGATTAAAAAGAATGTTGAAAGAAAATATGTGCACTTAAAAAAAAAGCTTTATTTTGAGACTCATGAACTCAAATTGAGACTTCGAATTCTCAAGTTGAGACTAGGGATGTAACGGACTTTTACGTTCAATTAATAATTACGGTCAATTTACCGTAATTTTATTCGTAAACTACCCGCCACTGACCCAAGGCCAATTACTAACCATTTCTGGTCAGAAAAGAGTGACAGAATTTCCTGACACAAAAATGACAAAAAAAATCTTGACCGTCCCTTCACATCGATAGTCACAGTTTATATTTTGGAGGATTATGAGGGTGAAGGAACAGAAGATGATGATTTTGAAAGCGATGAGATCGAAGATCCTGAAAATACTGAAATCGATGACGAGGACCCACTTTTTTGCCCATGTCTCTAACTCAGCTAACGACTGTTCAATGTGCTTAAAAAACCATTATGATTCCCAAGTTCTTTAATTAGTTCTTAAATGAGAAGCTTTACGAAAATCATTCATTTAATGAAACACTTTATATATGACTGTTTTTCTAGAATTGATTTTTATAGATTCTATAATAATTATAAATAGAAAAAAAGTTCTACGAAATTTTTCTCATTTTTTTGCAATTCCGTACTAAGGTAATATTTACTAAATTTTCTTTTTGTGTTTCGATGTTATTCATAATTTTATGAGAATTTCTGAAAAAATTCATGAAGAAAATGAAAAAAAAACGAGGACAAAAATGACGAGAAAAAATTACTGTCGATTGAATAAGTTGACCGGTCAGTTTGATCACAAGGTATGGGTTAATGGTAAATTTACAACTGACTTGACGCATGAAAAAAATTACCGTCATTTTGCATTCTTAGTCGTTACTTTCAAAAGTATGAAGGTGAAATTTTCAGCACTCCTGTTAGGGATATCCATGTATCTACTTTTCTACTTTTGTAATCGAACATCAGAGCTTTCATCTGAGCCGAATTTTACCCTAAGTTTCCGGACATTTTACAATGATTTTATTATTTAAATCATGCAGGTCTGAATTTAAATCTCGATATTAAACCGTTAGAAAACATTTTAAAAATTTGACAAAAAATCAGAAAGTTTACTTTTGGAGGAACATTGAAGAAATAATTTAAAAAACGTATTGTAAAAGATTACGAGTATTTTCTATAACTAATTTATAAACAATAAATTTTCCACCATAAACATCATTTGTTCGGAATCCTAAAAAATTTAATCATATTCACAATTTTACCAGAAATTCATGTCATGCCAAAACAAAATAAGGTTTCAGAAAGTTTAAGTAATTTCAATTTTTTTTTTAACGGATATATGTCATTTTATTGACGCAGAATATGTATGATTTTTTTTTAATTTTCTCACGTAATTCAATTTACAAAGTTGATAATTGAAAATGGTCGAATCTATAATGTAGTCTGTACTAAATTGTAGAAGATACTTGGATATCCTTAAAGAAAAATTTCAAGTTGGGTTCCGAAATTCTTAACTTAAGGCATCCAAAAGTATCAACTTGAGTCTATTAAAGTCTTAAATTCAAATCTTCAAAAGTCTCAATTTGAGGCTTGGAAAAACGCACGAAAAAATTTAATAGAACAACCTAGCGAATGTGCTAGCCAATTCTATCGGATTTCTATTGAACTAACTATTAGTTTTTGGCCGATTCTATTGAAATGTTCAATTGAAAATATTCTATAGAAAAAGTCAATAGAATTCAATTCATCTACACAACTTATTCTATTGAGATATTTTCAGCTATAATACCCCAAGACCTTCAAAATTATCGTATATTTCCCGAATGTTTTGTTGCATAGCAACCAGAGGGATCAGTTTTTGAGATTAAAATCCCGAGCGCGCAGGGATTTTACTGCAAAACTGATTCCGATCGTTGATATGCAGGAAAAATTGAGGGAAATACCCGATGAATTTTGAAGGTCGAGGGGTATTCGGAGGACAATTTCGTCAATTCTGATTTTGGCCGATCAGGGTGCAGTGTTCGAGGTTACGGGACACATTTCACCAAAATGTGAGGAATATCTGTAAAATTCGTAGAAAACAATTGACAGGTTACAGGGAAATTATCAGTCTGATAATTTCCCTGCAGCCAGGGAAATTATCAGTGTGAAACGCGTTACGTGACCTCGAATAATGCACTCTGATTGGTCAAAATCAGAATTGAGAAAATTAATTGTCTACAGAATTTCCTCGCCTCAAATTTTCCAAGTTTTTTCATTCTATTGTTTTTCTTTTCATCAAGAAAATCAAACAAAAAAACAGGAAATTCTATAGAAAATATCTCAATAGAATAAGTTGTATAGAAAAGTCGCATTCTATTGACTTTTTCTATAGAATATTTTCTATTGAACATTTCAATAGAATCGGCGAAAAACTAATAGAAAAGGTTTTCTATAAATTCAATTATAGAAGAATTAACTAATAGAAAAGTTTTTCTATAATATAATAGAAGTTTTTCTATTAATTTTTTTCGTGCGGGATATAATGCTGAATTATCATTTATGTCATAGGTGCCCAGAATCACGCGATTCTACCGAGCGAAGCGAGCCCTATGACATAAAATAGTATACGAAACTCGTGCGTAATATACTATTAATTAAATTTCGAGAAGAACTTACTTTCAACATTCAGAGTGAGATTGGCATTGAGTTCACCCAGGTTGTTCTTGATATTACACTTGTAAAGTCCAGAATCCTCAGCGCCGGGATCGTTAAGTATCAGTTTGATGTAATAGATACCCTCTTTCTCTTCAACCACGGTCATCGAAATTTTCGATGATTCCTTGATAATCTTTCCAGCATGAGTCCAGACAATATCTGGCTTGGGATTGGCACTGACCTTGCAGTCCATGATGACGACTTTTCCACCGTCTGACGACTGAATTCTCGGCTTTTCCACGAATGTGGGACCATCCCCTTCCTGTTCAGGTTCCGCCTCGATGTTGAGATTGAGATTTGCGTTACTTTGGCCGAATTCGTTCTCCACGTGACATCTGTATGTACCACCATCTGGACCAGAGGGTTCCTAAAATTTGGGGGAAATAAAGTGCCACATGTATTGAATACTTTCATTGAAAAATCTAATGTTTTCTCGGAGAAATTCTATTGAAATTCTTTTTTTTTGGTACCGGTGGGTATTGTTTTAAAAAATTGAATGGATTTTAATCTTTTCATATAAATTATTCTCTTGAGTTTTCTATATAAATTTTCGGGCATATTCCATAGGAATCGGTGCAAATAACAATTCCAATTTTTATGGAGTTCACGTGTTGGAAAATTTGAATGAGAAAAACCTAGCGCTTTTTTTAAGGAATTCTGTTGAATTTCTATTGGAATTTTATGAGAATTCTGTTGGAGTTCTAGTAGAATTATTATCCCTATTAGGAATTTAGTAGAAGTCTGTTGAAATTCTATAAAAATGAATTGATGAATTCTATAGAAATTCAATAGAATTTCTTTGTAAAAGCGCTGGGATTTTCCATTAAATGTCTTCCCACGTGTTGTAATTGAAATTCACGAGAATTTCTCACTGAAAGTTTTCAAATTTCTTCACCCAAAAAATTATAAAATCTCACTTTTATCTCCATAGTCAATTCATAGACATCTTCTTCCAACGACTTTTCGCTAATCGTTATCTTTGCGGTTTCCTTGACGACATTCGTACCACGGAACCATGTCACTTCAGGCTTGGGTTTGGCTTTGCACTTGCACTTCATGGTGATAAGTGTACCACTCTCGTTCGGAATGATGCGCGGCTTCTCGATGAATGTCGGAGCGAAACCAGCCGCGTCTTCTGCATCTTGGAAATGTTCTCAATTAGGCAATTGTCGAGTGTTGTTAATCATTAATATCCAGCGTAAAAATATTGGAGATACTTCGAAGATTCCGAGTTAATGATGAGGATTAATATTATGGAATTATTCATGTGATTAAAGTTATTAAAGTTACCGAAGCCAAAAGAGACGAGACAAAGAGGTATGTTAGATCGGACAAACTTACCCAGAATATACTATTTAAAAAAACATCCCATATTCGAACTCAACCATTTTCATTTGAACATTCCTCTTCTAATTTCGTGCACTCAATCCGGTTTTTTGTGAAATGGAATATTTTGTGGAATCAAGGTGTATCGCAAAAAATATCGATTTCCGTGCACGAAAAAAAAAATTGTAACGACTTGCCTTGGAAATTGAGTGAGATGTTTGCATTACTCTCTCCGTAATTGTTAAACGCATTGCAACGGTAGTTTCCACCGTCTGCCTTTGTAGGATTTGTGATTTCAAGGGTGAGTAAATATGTGTCCTTGCCAGTTGCTTTCCTCGACATCTTTATCCGTGAACTACCGTTGATTGGTGATGTCCCTTGGTACCAGGTTATATCGGGGACTGGGTGGGCCTCGAGAATACACTCCATTATGAGTAAATCACCCTCTTGACGGATTGTTGGCTTTTTTGGGAAACGTGGAGCCTTGCCGTCGGGAATTCTGCGCGGATCGTTGAATTTTTGGTTTTGTTTTTGTTTTTTACGGGGCTACGTCGGTGAAATTTAAGTCTTCACTGGGCCTTGAGACCCATTGAACAGTGCGATATATGACGAAATATGGGAATAGTAGGAACAATCGCCGACCCGATCGAATTTGCCCTGTATTACCACGAAAAACTTCATTTTTTCTTGTTTTTACCTTCAAAATGCTCCTTGCGCCGTATTTTTCATACGATTTTAGCTTTTTTTAATGTTTGTTACACTCCAAAGAATAAAGTTAAGCATCCGTTTTCCTTTTTTCGCAATAGATCATGAATAAATAAATTTTGAATTTCATAAATTTTTCGCGTCCCTAGAATGGAGTAAAATTTATGAAATTCAAAATTCATTTATTCATGATCTATTGCGATTAAAGTAAAACGGATGCTTAACTTTTTTCTTTGGAGTATAACAAACATTTAAAAAAAAGTTGAAATCGTATGAAAACTACGGCGCAAGGAGCATTTTGAAGGTAAAAACAGGAAAAGATATAGTTTTTCGTGGTTACACGGGGCAAAATGGATGGGGTCCGCGATTTTCCGTAGTTGTTCCCATATTCCGTCATATAGCACAAACTGTTCAATAGGTCCCAGGGCGCAGTGAAGTCTTTTAAATTCCACCGACGTATCCCCTTAACAGAGAGAAAATTCAGCAATTGAGAACTGGAGCGGTGTTCTCAATTGGGGAATTTTCAATTCTGCTTTAGTTCCGGATTTTGGATTTCCGACGAAATTTCAACTTGTGGATAGAACGAAACCCGCTTTAATCGTCAATAACTCGAAAACGGTGGAGTGGAATTTTGCGATGTTTTTTCATTCTCGAGGTATTTTCTCAGCCTTTGAAATAAGACTTGACTCGCTTGAATTGAACCGGGCTGTTTCGAGATATTGGAGATCAAAGACGCTTCGTTTTAGGGACACGCATGAGAAAAATTCACAGAAAAACCTAATGAATTGGATAGAATATTCGATTGAACTTCAGGCTTTATTACGCATTTTTTAAAGAGAAAATGTCTAATAGAAACTGTTTAATAGGGAAATCAGTAGAATTCCATATTTCGATAAAACTTTTTTTATTGAGACATTTTTTATAGGAATTCCTGAACACGAATTTTCAATTTTTTTTCACTCAATTTTTTTTCTCTTTTCGTTGCAAATAAAATCTAATGAAAAGTTGATAAAATTTGAGCCGAAGGATTTCTATAGAAAATATCTCAATAGAATAAGTTATATAGAAAAATCTAATTGGACTGATTTTTTCTATAGAATATTCTCCATTGAACATTACTGTTCAGAAACTGAAGCGCAGATGAGTTGCGAAATTTTTCAATGAAATTTTTTCCCCTCGACATTAATTTCCCGAGTGTTTCCATTCTATTTTATCCCGTTTCATATAGAAAATCAAACGAAAAACGAATAAAAACAAAAGAAAAAACATAAATTTGAGCCGAGGGATTTCTATAGAAAATATCTCAATAAAATAATTTACATAGAAAAATCCAATTCTACTGATTTTCTCTATAGAATTTTCTCCATTGAAAATTTCTAATCCAAAAAAAAATGCAAGATGAGCTGCTGAATTTTAATAAAATCAGCCAAAAACTAAACTTAAGAAATTTCAATAGCAATCCAATAGAATTTCCTATCGAATTCGCAGGGTTTTTCTCTGAAATTCCTTCCTACGTGTAAATAAAATCCGAGTTAAAATTTCATCGAGTGCATCAACGTCGTTTATCATCATACTTCGGTTTGTCTCCGCCTTCAAAGTTGAGATTAATCGTCGCAGTCCCCTGTCCATTTTTGTTCTTAGCAACAGCTCTGTATTCACCCCCATCAGCCTTAGCGACATTGCTAATCTGTAGTCTAGCGAGATAGTACAGTTTCTGGTCAATCTCGAGGGATATCTTGAACCTTCCACTCTCCTTCAGTTCGTTGGTTCCATGATACCTGATTTTGTTCATTGTTTTCCGTTTATTCACACGATGAGTTAAAAAAAAACTACAAAAAAATGATAATTGATTCTCCCCGATTTTCTTACCACTTAACACTAGGTTTTGGATCTCCGACTAATCGACACTCAAATGTTATAGTGTTGCCATCATCGGACTGTCTAATGACGGGTCGTTCGGTGAATGTCGGTTTGATGCCGTCATCGGGTACGGGCGCTTCGTCGCCTAGGTTTTTCGCACAAATTCGTCATTCATTCATATTTTAATACATGTCACTCCTGAGTGACGTATCGATCGAAGGTACATGCTGCTCAGCTGCTCAGATCCCTTTGTCTTAGTTTATTCATCGATGAACATACAAGATATCGCGAATCGACTTCATTTCATTGAACATTTATTTCAGAGGGATTTTATTCACGGGTGGAGTAAAAACAATTCACGTTACCTCAATAATTGTCCTTTGAGTTTTGAGACAAAATCAGTAATGAGGTATTTAATATCGCTTTAGGACTCCCACACGACAAACACGTGTAACAATAACAGATAAACCACACGGAGAAAAATAGTTGAGGGAAAATAAGCAAACAAATCAAGTAATTGTGGGGCAAAATTCCGTTGCAAGTGAAAAAAGAGAAAAAATACCAGACAAATGGCGAATCTTTCTCCGTTTGCAAAATAAGTAGTAAACATCGGAGTAATTTGTCGTACAATTGTAAAATTTAGCCGAAATTCCATTTTTTTTCATCACTTGTGGGTAAAGTGAAATTTTACGCAAGCTCCGCATGAAAAATAGGATTTGACACACGAGGGAAAAGTGTCCTCTGACCCTTGAGAGGGCAGCACTCGTCTTCGGCGAGCGGTACACACCTCCCGTGAGTGTAAAATAGTACATTACATGCCCGAACCTTGGAAAACAGATATTTTTTATCACAATGTGTGGAAAAGGGACGTTTTAGGCACACGAAGCGTGCCTAAAAAGTTACTTTTTAGCACAGCGCGATGAAAACACTTTTTTGTCACTGCTGCTACGTTCAGCCCGTGTCGAAAAGTGCCTTTTCGTTTACTAGTAACCGAAAAGTCGAAACTTGTAAACGAAATAGTACATTACATGCCCGAGTCTTGGAAAACAGATCACCGTCCCCCACGTGCAAGATTGCCTTCCGAACCGAAGGCGAGGATGGAAAGCACGTAGGGGAGGGTGATATGTTTTCCATGGCGAGGTGTGTATATTATTTTTCATCACGCTGTGACGAAAAGTGAACTTTTCGGCACGCTCCGCGTGCCTAAAAGTCCAATTTCCGCCACGTTGTGATGAAAAATATTGTTCGTAACTCGTGAAAAAATGTTTTTTAGTTCGTGGGATTATATCACTCGCCTTCGGCTTGTGATATAAACCTCCCACTCGCCAAAAAACACTTTTTTGCACTCGTTACGAAATATACTATTTCGTGTCGAGGGACCCGCTGCGTGCCGCGAAATTGGGGTTTTTCAGGTCCCGTGACACCAAAAGACTTTTCGTTTACTGGTAAACGAAAAATGACACAGTTCGGCACTCGGTGAACGTAACATCACTAACAAAAAATATAGTTCGGATATACGTGCGACGGGGTGTTTTAACTCGTGTGATTGGCAGCCCTCGGCTTCGCTTCGGGCCGCCAACTTCACACTCGTTACCACCCCGTCGCACTTGTATCGAAATATACTATTACGCACTCGTATTAAAATATAATATTTTATTGAAAATCATTTCGCTCCATGATTACCTTTCGTATAGTAACGCTTACTAAATAAATCAAGTAACCGTGGAGAAAAATTCAGTTCTAGATGTTTCGTATTCTATATCGCATACAATGCTAGATGAATTGTGAAATTTATCAGGAATTGCATAAAAAATAACGTAATCGATTTTGAATGATTACTCAGTGTCTAGAAATTTTTCTGTAACGGAGAAAAGATTTTTTTTCCAAATACTATACAGTACATTTTCACCTTCGTCTGTTCCTATATCGTTCGCATCGTTGCCAAAAAATAGCATATTTCGATACGAGTGCGTAAAAGTGTTTTTGTGATACCTTCCTGAAACGTGCGCTTTCCAAAACGGTTTAGTGTTCACAAAGCAGTTATTCTGCACGAGTACGTGAATTCTCGTGCGTAAACTGTGCTTTACGTACTCAAATTTCACTTTACACTGTTGAAAATTTTCATCTGAATTTCCCGTACCAAACTCCGGAAATTTTTATCGTGTTCAAGTTCCACTGAAATTTCAGGAAATCTTGTCATTGAAAAATCAAATATGCCATTGCTTTTCTGTTGAAATGATCTGGAAATCAATAAAATACTTGGTTTTCCAGTTTAATTATTCTGTGAAAATTCGGAAAAATCAGGAAAATTCAGGAAAAAATTGAAAATTCATGTCATCTTGTTTGCCATGTTCCACTGAAAATTCAATCAAATTGTGATATTTCCACCTCACTCCCATTGAAAACCAATCAATTTCCGTGAATTCTACTTAAAACTTGAAATTTCATAACCATTTTTTTCCTAAATCCGATTGAATGTCACTCTCATGAGATTTTTTAACAGTGTAGGCACTCGTGCACAAAAACAACCCCGTTTCCCCCACTACCGTTTCGAACAGTGAACTGGGCAGGTATTATAATAAATAGGATGTGTTACACGTGCGTGCGAAAAGGTGGATCTTTACGCACTAATAACACAATATACTATTTTTGTGAGACCTGCCTGAATAGTGCACTTTTCGAAACGATTTAATGTGCGTAAATCGGTGGTTTTCCGTACACTGTGCGGAAAGTTCATGACCATGCGTAAAGTGATTTCGTGTGCGTAAAGCTTCGCTTTTGAAATATACACACTGGTGCACAAAAACAACCAATTTACCCCCACTACCGTTTCGAACAGTGTACTCGGCAGGTATTCCTAAAAATAGGATGTGCGTGAGAAAAAGTGGCACTCTACGCACTAGTAACACAATATACTAATTGTGTTACTAGTGCGTAAAGTTCCACTTTTTCACGCGCACGTGTAACACATCCTATTTTTTGAGGTACCCGCCGAGTTCACTGTTCGGAACGGTAGTAGAGGTAATGTGGTTGTTTTTCTACCACAATATCACGTAAAGTTTCGCTTTACGTACTCGAAATTCACTTTACGCACGCCGAACTTGAACTTGACGCACGCCATGCGGAAAACAATCCCTTTACATACACTGAACCGTTTCGAAAAGTGCACTTTTGAGGTAGGTATCACAAAAACACTATTTTTAACCCATAAAAGGGTTTACCCTCTCGGGGGTCAGAGACCAGTTTTCCCACGATTATCGAACCCTATTTTTCATCACGATTAGTCAAAAAACGAGATTCTGGGCACGCGGAGCGTGCGTAAAATTTCACTTGACGCACGGACGATGAAAAAAAATGTACAGGTGTGGGAAATTTTACTGTACTGGGAACCGTAATTTTTTCAACCCAGATATCATTACTTTACTAAACGAATCGTCAGATATCCTCCCCAAAAAGTATTTTTCATTGAAAAACATTTTTTCCACGATTACCTTTTGTGTAATAAAATTTTCCGAGATTTTGTGGATAATTTTCTTCCAACTGGTCTCTCCGTGCATATGAAAAAAATCTAAGCAGCAACCTAGTGAAGCATCAGCGCCAGGCCAAATATTGTTTTTGGTTTTGTTTTGCTCTGAGGTAAAAACTATTAAAATTAATAGATGTCATATAAAGCAGCGGATGATGAGTATTTTCGTTATTTTAGTTGATGAATGATAATCGCGCTCTACTTATTCTGTCTGACGACGTGATATTCCACGTCAGTGTCAATCAAGCCGGGCTGTATATCGTACAATTCGATATCTGCTTCTCTCACTATTTTGTCGTTTCCTCTCTGAATGTCAAGTTAATTGAAATTCCAGTGAACGATCGATACGCCCCTTCAAGAATCACCAGCGATAGTTCAAGGATGATTATGATAAATAAATAATGCATAGAGAAACAGAAAGTTTAACTGATTGACAGTGAAATAATAGCGAAATAGAACAAAATATGAAATAAAAAAGAAAGATGAATTAAAGATTGAGGGAAATCATATCAATCGAGAGTTGAAACGAAACAAAAAAAAATATTGAAAAAATCATAACAGTGGTAGAGAAATGAAGAATAATGATAGATCGATATACATCCCGAGTTAGGATGGCAGTATGAGCTTTCGTCAGGTGTGTGAGGATTTTTTTTTGTGAACTTACTATCGAAATTCAGGGAAATTGTTGCGTTGGATTCGCCGAGCTCGTTCGTTGCATTGACCTTGTATTTTCCAGCATCCTCAACGGTCACATTTTTAATCTCGAGACTGGCAAAGTACGAGTGGCCATCTTTATCAATGGCCAGCTGAAAAAATCATATCTTCAATAATTTATGTTTTATTTCCCGTAGAAATAATTTTACAGAAAAACGTAGCGAATTCGCTGGGGAATTGTTTTGGACTTCTATTGAACTTTCTATAGGTTTTGGACTTCTATTGAACTTTATATTGTCTCAAAACTTTCCAAGTATTTTGTTTGATTCTTTTTATAAGTAGATGAAAAATAGAGTGGAAAAAACGTGGGAAATTCTAGGCAAGGAATTCTTATAGGACATATCTCAATAGAAAAAGTTGTATAAAAATCTGCGGGCGACTGTATCCTTGATACAGCCATAATTTTACGTGGATACGTCTATGGTCTTCACATCCAAAATTTGTGACCCACAAATTTGATCTTTTTCGTACAATAATAACCAATTGTCGGTACATTGCCGATCAGCGCTAAGGATCCCTCAAAATTGTAATTTATTTCTACAAAAACTGGGCAATTTTCTCGAATTTTTTAGAAAATTCTAGAATTTCGATAGATGGTGCCACTGCCGATAAAGAACAATAAGGATTTTTTCCCTAAATGCCCCCCCATAATGAAAACATAGACCACTACAAAAAGTACCCACGTCAAAAAGTTTTTTAGAAATTTTACCAATTTTTCTATGAAATAGTTTTTATTGGAAATTTTTTATAATACGAATATTACTGGAAAACTCTATTACATTTCTGTTGACCTTTCAATTAGTTTATGGTCGATTTTATTAAAATAAGTCGCAGTTTATCTAAAATTCTTCGGCTCAATTTTCCACGTTTTTGTCCGATTTTTTTAATGAAAGGGGGAAAAAATATAGTTGAAAAAACGTAGCAAATTCATGTCGAGTAATTCCCGTAGAGAATTTTCCAATTCTAAGAAATTTTCAATAAAATATTTTCCATTCAAAATTTACCCTAAAAAAGCGCGCAGTAAAGCTGCGGAAATCATTAATAGAATCGTCCGTAAACTAAGACAATTTTAAATAGAAATTCAATACAAGTGCGACAGAAATTCCTGTCCAATTCTCTACCTTTTTCTATTAAGATGTTTCGTGCGAAAAAGGTAAATACTGACATTCATCTGAAATTCATATAGAATGTTTATAATCACAATTGAATTATCCATGAATTTTCCTGGCATTTTTTCAGATTTCTTTTTCAAGTTATTAACGATTAAAGTCGCTTCTTATACATGGGCTTTTATGGAGATTTTTCTGTTTAGCACAAAACTGCGTTAACATCTGAGCTGATAATATAGTTTCATGCTAAACAGAAAAATCTTCATAAGAGCCCATATGAAAGAAGCGACTTCAATCGTTAATAACTTGAAAAGGAAACCTGAGAAAATTCTAGGAAAATTCATAGATAATTCAATTGTGATTATATACATTCTATATGAATTCCAGATGAATGTCATTATTTATCTTTTTCGCACGAAGTATCTTAAATTTATGACGCAATATTCACTCACCTTGTGCCTCGGCGAATTCTTGACAAGATTTCCGTCATGAAACCACGAGACTTTGGGTGTCGGATCGGCAGTGATGCGGCATTCGAAGACCAATCTCTTGCCATCGTCCTCTTGTCTAATGGCAGGTTTTTTCGCGAATGTTGGCGCAATACCATCGATTTGTCTGCAATAACCAGCCGTATCAATTGATTATTGTTAACATTCATTCGCGAAATTCCGCGGTGCAAATCATTCGAATATTGTCGAGGCTTGAACGCTCGATTTCAATGCACGCATCGTACAGACGAGCTTTCTAAATTTGGAGGGAACTTGTCTATCTAACCTATTTTTACTGGAGAAGCAGCAGATGGGGGCATTTACTTAAGAGTAGGTGAATGAAAATCAACAATTCTGAGCTATTTATGAATGGAATTTATTTAAAGTACTTGCAAATCGACTATTGAAATTGCTTTCGCGAATTTTTACGCGAAAAATTAATTTCATTTCTGCATACTGGAAATTTTACGGATTGTAACGTAAATTATCCATGTAATAGTATATTTCTGAGGGGGGGGGGCACGCTCCGCGTGCCTAAAAGTCCGATTTCCGCCACATTGTGATGAAAAATATTGTTCGTAACTCGTGAAAAAATGTTTTTTAGCTTGTGGGATTATATCACTCGCCTTCGGCTCGTGATATAAACCTCCCACTCGCCAAAAAAAACTTTTTTGCACTTGTTACGAAATATACCATTTCATCACAGCGTGATTATTATGATTATTATTGTGATTTTTTTGGTCCAAACTAGACTTGTTCGGGAAATTGTTCGTTTTTCTCTCAGTGTAGGTTCTGAAGAGTCAAATGGATTTTTCTTTTCAACAATTAAACATAGTATTCTGAAGCCGAGTGGAGCCTGATAAATTTTCAGAAGCTATCATAATAATTTTTAAAAACGTGATGTTCTGAGGTACATTTTCCAAAAGTGATATTTAAAGATATCTAAGTACTTTGGCTATCTCCAGTGAAATACTTTTCTATTGCTGTAGTCGAACATCAGAGCTTTCATTTGAGCCCCATTTAACCCTAAGTTTTCGGACATTTTACAATGATTTTATTATTTAAACTTTGCAGGTCTGATTTTAAATATCGATACTGAACCATTAGAAAATGTTTTAGAACTCTAGAAAAAAAAAATAAAGTTCACTTGGAAGTGTGTGCTAGTGATGGCGCAGCTGACCATTGATCGCTAACGTATTGTAAAGTTTACTTTTGCCAGACGATTTTCTATAAATAATTTATACACAATCAATTTCCCACCATAAAAATTATTTGTCCGGAATCTTAAGGAGAGACCCCGGTGAAATTTGAAAGTCTTCGGTGAATCTGAGGACTTATTGAGCGACTTCAGTTATATGATGAAATATGTTAAAAAGTGGGAAAAATCCCGGACTCAATTGGTTTTGCCCCGTACTTCCACGGAAAACGTCGTTTCGTATTTCTACCTTTAAAACGTTCCTCGTTGCCCAATTTTGATCCGATTTGATTTTTTTTTTCAAAATGTTCGTGAGACTTCAAAGAACAAAGTTAACCTTCCGTTTTACGATCCATTATACAGATCATAAAAAAATGGAAAAAAAAAGAAAAAACGGGGTTTTCCTTCTGATCGTCAACTATTAAAAATAAAGACTTTTCAGGCATAATGCAAAGACAATCAAAAGGCAAAACCCTTTTTTTCTCTATTTTGTTTTTTTTTCTTTTTTTTTCGATTTTTTCATGATCTATATAATGGATCGTAAAACAGAAGCTTAACTTTGTTCTTTGGAGTCACACGAACATTTAAAAAAAAAAATCATATCGGATAAAAATTGGGGAACGAGGGACGTTTTAAAGGTAGAAACATGAAAAACAACGTTTTCCGTGGAAATACGAGGCAACACCGATTGAGTCGGAGATTTTTCCCACTTTTTAACATATTTCACCATATAACTAAAGTCGCCCAATAAGTCCCTAGATCCAGCGAAGACTTTCAAATTTCACCGGAGTCCCCCCTTAACAAATTTATTCATATTCAGAATTTTACCAGAAATCGATCTCATGTCTTAAAAAATAAGGTTTCCGAAAGTTTAAACATCTTCAATTATTTATTTATAAGCAACGAATGTTTAAAAAAATAATAATTCTGCGCAAAATATTTTGGTGAAAAAAATTCATGTTTTTTCAAATTTTTCTCACGCAATTTAATTGACAAAATTGATGATTGAAAATGGCTGAATCTATAGTGTGGTTTGTACCAAACTTTGAAGGATAATTGGATATCTTTTAAGAGATATGTAATCAAGCATGAGAGTTTTCATTTCAGACCTATTTTACCCTAAGTTTCCGGACATTTTACAATGACTTTATTATTTGAACTTTGCAGGTCTGAAATTGAATCTCGATATTGAACCGGTAGAAAAAATTTTTTTAATCTGACAAAAAATTAGAAAATTTACTTTTGAAGAACGATAATGAATAATTAAGACATTACAATTTTTGAAAAGTACGAGCTTTTTCTGCAAATAATATATAAACAGTCGATTTTCTACCACAATTATTTGTTCGGCATAACAAATTTATTCATATTCAGAATTTCACCAAAAATCGATTTCATGCCCAAATAAATAAGATTTCCGAAAGTTTAGACAATTTCAATTATTCATTTATAAACAATGAATATCTAAAAATAATAATTCTGCGCAAAATGATCAAATGATCAAATTTGAATGACGCTAAATATTCACGATTTCTGTTCAAATTGTTCTCACGCAATTTAATTGACAAATTTAATGATTGAAAATGGTTGAGTCTATAGTGTAGGCTGTACCAAACTGTAAAAGATACTTGGATATCCTTAATTCCTCAAAACATTAAGCTCTTTTAACATATTAGTCAAAACTCTTCCAATTAAATTGATCATAATACAAACCTCACAATATTGAAAACCCATTCGTTAAATAAGAAAAACATTCTCCAAGAGAAAACATCAAAGCACTCACCGTTTCCTCAGTTTTGGCTGAGCAGCTAAAACCAAAGAGAAAAAAATGAAAATTGAAAATAAAGCAGAAACTAAATGAAAAATAGTTATGAAGAGGCAGCATAGAGAAGTGCAAGCGTAGAGACAAGAATAAATAATCAGTTTATCAAGAATGCTGATATATTTGTGATTAATTTTGCAGAGAGACGGAAGCAACTGATCAGTGCGAAGAGTTTTCAAATCAAATAAATATTACTCAAAGAATATAATCGAAACCAGTGGTTTCAATCAGCCAAGGCAGATACCAATTTTAAACAATTCAAAAGTCCTTCAAATTTTCGACGAAACGATTCTTTCATTGACTTACTTTTCTCTAGGCTCGTCCATGGCTGTAAAACACAATGACTATTACTCAACCCATAATCGCTAATTTGCGGATTTGTTCTCTTATTTTTCAGGTCTATTTATCATTATTGGTTATTATATAAATAATAGCCAATAGATCACGTACAACAAATTTTTATAAAAAAAACTTAGCGAATTCGCTAGAAAATTCTATTGGATTTCTATTGAACTTTCTGTTAGTTTTTAGCCGATTCTATATAAATTTTCAATAGGAAATATTCTATAGAAAAAGTCAATAGAATTTAATTTTTCTATACAACTTATTCTCTTCAGATATTTTCTATAGAATTTCCTCGGCTCAAATTTTCCAAATTTTTTTGTCTGATTTTCTTGATAAAAAGAAAACAGAAATAGAATGAAAAATACTTAAAAAATTTAAGCCGAGGAAATTCTATAGAAAATATATCAATAGAATAAGTTGTATAGAAAACTTGAATTCTATTGACTATTTGAAGAGAACATTTTCTATTGAACATTTCAATAGGATGGGCCGAGACCTAATAAAATTCTATAGAAAATTCTATACAAATCCAATAGAATTGTCTATCGAATTCGCTAGATGTTTCGATTAAATTAAAAAATCTTTATAGAAAAACTCAGTGCATTCGATAGAAAATTCTATTGGATGTCTATTGAATTTTCTATTAGTTCTGATTGATTCTATTGAAAAATTCCGTAGCTCATCTACGCATTTTTTTCAATAGAACTGCTCAGTAAAAATATTTTGTAGAAAAAATCAGTAAAATACGATTTTTCTTTACAATTATTTCTATTGAAATTTTTCCTACAGAAATCTTTTGGATTAAAGTTTATATGTTGTTTCGCTTATTCTTTTAATAAGGAGAGAAGAAAAATAAAGTGAAAAAAATTGAAAATGCATGTAATTCATGAAAAGTTTTATAGAAAGATAAAATTCTACTGATTTTTCTGTGGAATAGTTTCTATTGCCGTAAAACGGCGGAATTGTCGATAGAATCGGCGAAAAACTAATGAAATTTTCAATAAAAGTTCAATAGAAATCCAATAGAATTTTCTATCGAGTTCGGTAAGTTTTTATTTAGTTTTTTAACGTTCTAGAATTCTTTTCGTTGCTATTCTTATTTATTAATTTGACACGACTGTTTTATCCTACATTTCCCTGGAAATGTATTTTTATGCTGAAAACGCGAACCAAACGCATCAGTTTACAATTCCGAATGCCAGAATTCATAAGAAATTTGAAAATAAATAAATAGTCCACACGAGCCACACGCCTGAATACGTTTCAAGCGATCTAAAAGTGATTGAAAATGAGAGAGAATATGATTCACAGAGAAAAAATAGTTTTGATTTTCAGGGAAATGTCACTTATTTTTAAGAATCTATCTCCAATTTTTGGCGATACTAGACAATAATTATCAGTAATTTTTATAATCGAAATTTGGTGCTACATTTCTAAAAATTAAAAATGGATCCTGGAAAATCAGTGACATTTCTCTTAAATTAGTGAACATGTCCGTGAAAATAAGTGACTATGTCACTTGAAATTAGTGATAATGTCACCGAAAATTGGTGACAAAACCGCTGAATTTCAGAATTTCGCACTTATTGAATTTCACAATGGCGAATATCCAAAGATTCATTGAAATTAAGGATGGGTGCCTGAAAATCGGTGACATTTCCCTGAAAATCAAAACTATTTTTTCTGCGCTCATTGAATTCAACTTGAGACTAAAGTTCAGGTTGATAAACACCGAAATACGTTTTAACTAATCCAAAAGTGATTGAGAATGTGAAAGAATATGATTCATAAAAAAAATAGTTTTGATTTTCAGTGAAATGTCACTGATTTTTAAAAATCTCTCAACACTTTCTGATGATACTAGACACTAACCCCAATAACGCTAATCATCAGTAATTTCCACCATTGAAATTTCAGTAGCAAAGCGATAAAATAATCCAAGTCGATTGTGACTATTGGTCAGTTTTCAGTGAATATCTCGGAATCTAAGGTAGATATCAAAATTTTTGTTAAAATCTTGTTTGTAGCTGTCAATTTGCCCTACAATAAATGTTAGTACAAAAATTTCGTTATTTCCATTAGATTGGGCGATATTCCTCAAACACTCAGCTAAGAATTAAGTACTGATTTGAATCAAAACTTATTTTTTCTCTATTTACTTAATTAGACTTACGACTGAAGTTCAGGTTGATAGACGCCGCCACCTCGCCCATGGTGTTCTTGGCCTTGACCTTGTACAATCCAGCATCAGTCTCAATGACATCATCGAGCTCAAGTACAACGAGGAATTTATTAGCCCCAATGCTCTGTATCTTGAAATTTGTTCTGTCATCCTCACTGAGTTGTGTTTCACCCCTTGACCATGTTATCTCTGGCTTTGGGGAACTAACAAGTTGACATTCGAATATCAAACGATTTCCATCGTCCTCCTGCCTCAGTTGAGGCTTCTGAGTGAAGCTCGGTGCGAAATCATCGGCGACCCCCATTTTCAACGGGGTGCCCTCCTCTAAACTCTTTTATGATGCCCCAATTAATGTTTGTTACGCACTATTGGGGGGATAAATTTTCAATCCACCTGTCTGTCCGCCTTCAGTGGTTCAATCTTCGCGGTGACATTCAGATTGAGCGCTATCAGCGCTCACTATTGTCTATTTATCGTATGACACAGCAGTCTCTCCTGAAATGCAGACAGTAGAAGAAATTAATCAGGGATCGTTTAAATTTCCTTATTTTTTGAGATGTGACGATTCAATGAAAAATATTATCAATGCACTTTTTTAAAATACTTGTCATATTACACTTGTCCAATATTTTCCACCAAATTCCCATATCAAACAATAAAAAAATGTCATGCAGATTAAAAAACCTTTCAGTTGAAATTAATTTTAGTAGCGAAGTGGTAAAAAGGTTCACGTCGATTTTGTCTATTGGCCAGTTTTCAAAGACTATCCCAAAATCTATGAGAGGTAGCAAAATTTTTGTCATAACCTTTTTTGTAGCTATCAATTCGCCTTATAAAAAAGGTTATTACGACAATTTTGCTATCTCCCTTAAATTCGGAGATATTCTTCGAAAACTCAGCTAAGGGCAAATCCTACTTAAACCGTTTTACGGGTTCGTGTTTTCTTAATAATTCACCCTTTGAACAGAGGAATTGTTCTATTCACGTTGCTACCGATATTCTCAATCTACAATTTCTCACCATATAGAATGACCCATTGAAATTGCAAATTTGATAATTAATCATAAGAGATGCCGACACTGTGACGTAAATGTTAGTTCCTATTATTAATACGATGCTTAGCTCGAAATAGACAGCTCAGTTATCTAACAGAACAGTTATTACGTCTGGCATTACAAGTCATCTCCACTGCATTGATACTATGAACGAGAGGTCAAAAATTCTCAGAGACCGAGAGATGAATTTCCGAACGTTTAAGAGTTCTTCTCACCAATTTTTTGCGAATGGAAATAAAATTCGATTTCATTTTTAATCCTCACAAATATCTGGAGCTCTTTGACGTCCCATTATTTATGAAAAATAAATATGGAGTATTCAATATTATTTATATTCACGTCTTATGATTTCTTTAGGCAACGAAATTTCGCAAAAATTGAAATAACTGAATTTGAAAATAAATAAAAATGCGAGTGGATAATTCGCATGACACAATGTGTTCAATGTATAAAAGTTGGCAAAAGTATTCGTACAAGACACACTTTGAGATCGCTGCCCCTCTCGTAACTGTCGCTCACATTCTTATAACTCAAACCGTCAGTTATTTCTGTACATTTGGCGAAACTTATAAATTTTATCGTAACATTTTTAACTCATCATGAATTTATTGAAGTCACTCATAAAATTTGCATCATCCCATGATACATCAATTCATCAGATTAATTATAATAATCGAATATTAACCTGATATGTTTTTATTCCAGATAAAAATACACGTGGATACAAAAATACTGTAATATTTGTTGGTCACAAAATAATGTAAGTAAAACCCAGATCTTCGACACAGTTTATCGTTCGCGTTACGGTCTATTTTCGCGATTACCCCAGAAAAGTCATCTCAGGGTCATGCAATGCGATACAAGTGATTGTGTTTAATGCACCTGTACATGAACTATTCAGGACATTGGATAACGAAATCAAATTGCATGACTCGATGTAACAATTCGGTAACAATTCTTATGATTCATTTTATAGGGAGTAGAGCGGATAGTCTTCAATCGTCAATATCTCGCGACCAGACGATCCAATTTGGATGAGTCAGGTCTCATTTTCAGGCTTGAAAAAATACCTTGGAAATGAAAAAAACATTGGGGAATTTTACTCTGCCGTTCTTGAGTTATCGCTGGCTGAAAACGGTCCATTTCACCTCATCTCGTCTAATTCAGGGGGAATGATTCAACGAGTCTGACTGTATTCGTGCGGATATCCCTCATGTTCCATTCTCAAGTGGAAACAGCCGCGTCGGTCAGACCTGTTGATCATCTATTATTCGGTTTTTCTCTCGAATATTCAGTAGCGAAGCCGTAAAACGGTTCAACGTAGCCCTTAGCTGAGTTTTCGAGCAATATTTCCAAATCTAAGGGAGACGACGAAATTTTCGTAAAAACCTTTTTTATGGAGCGAAATGAGGGCTACAAAAAAAGTTTCTGGTAAAAATTTAGCTATCTCCTCTAAATTTCGAGATATTCATTGGTCAATAGTGGAAATTGATTTAATTCGTTTTACCGCTTCACTACTGTATTATTTTATTTCTACTTTCTGAAACACAAAAATTGACGATTTCGTCGGACGGAACTCTCGGTATGCGGATATTTTTAACAGCTGAGTTGTAGTGTAATGTGGAAGGGGGTGGACGGTGAATATTACCGTGAGCCACCCACGCCTAAGCCTCCCGATTTCCATCGAAATTCGCTCCGTTTTCAGAGTCAATCGGTCGACAGAAACGAGTGTAAACGAATTACTCAACACAATTGTTCTCGTTCATGGGGATATTGTGCTGTATGCGAGAATTATTCAGTCATACGTGACGGATACTAGAGGATACCAACGAAATGCTCTTGGGTTCGGCACCTCTGCTCCTCCTCACGTTACGTTTCTCTAAAAATAATACGGACACCGAGCCTAGATACCTAGATAGACGGCTACGAATAGGGAGACACGAGTTGTTCACCGAATAACTTTGGTTTTTTATAAAAAAAATTTCATTCATCAGTCATCGGAGGATTCAACAATCATTCTACTAAATCTCTAAATCCCTATTATTGATTGTCCTCTATCAATGAATTGTCGCAGTGATAAGGTGAAAGCTCACGATTTTTTCAGTTTCACTCCGTCATGAAGATGATATAACTCATCAAAAACTATCACTGATAATTAAATCATCCCCCGAAAGCTTCGTTACGTAATTAGGTAAATTAATTCACTCCCGCACGTGTTACTTTGGCGAAATGCACTGATTCGTCGGGTAAAATTCACAGAACTTGTTTGGTATTAAAGATTCGTTATTGAATATATTTTCGGCTTATCGCCTAGCACTCGTCCCACACGGTACATAAATTCCCCCGTCATTTCACGTTCTCCTTTTTCCCCGAACATTTTTAAAAAAAATTTTTATTTCTCGCAAAAACTTACTTGACGATATAGAGTTGCGTTAAACTCTGGGCGTTCGTTCGTCCGCGCACAGCCTTATACGAAGCTCAGCAAATAGTCGTCGTAGGTAAGAGAGCTCTCTCCTTCTCTCTCACCCGAAAACGTTGACAATCCGCTTAGCTTTGAAAAGTGACCAGCGACGAGTGATAATGAATCCAGCAGAATTGCTTGAAAAATTTCGATGAAGTTCGTTGAAATTCGTTTATTGAAAAAAAAAATTGATCACTTAATCCTCACCACTTTAGTGCCCGAAAGAGCACTTTCCCCCTCACGAAAATAAAAACTACTCAACGTTACAACTTTTCTTTTCTATTTATTTTGTTTCGTTGTCTCGCGTCTGTCTGTCGTTCTACTGCGTTGGCAGTCCCAATCGCCCGTGGCCCTGCGCGCGAACTAACCAAAACTAAATTTTAATCTGCTACTTGAGGCGCTCATCATCATACCTCGGCACCCCACCGCTCAACCATTTTGAGACTCCCACTCTCACTTCAGGTTCAATTTTCACACGCCAATGCTAGATCATCCCTCGTTGAACGATAAATTATGGAGAAAAACATTTTTTTTCCGTTTTCTTTTTATTCTTTAGCTTTTTAGTTTGTGTAAATGTTTGATATTTAACCTCGGAATGAGAATTTAAAAAAATCAAGATAATAATACAGTGGTATTATTATTATTATTATTATTGTCATTATGATGTATTCATATAAATATAAAAATTTATTTTATTCATACATACAAAAAAATTCAAAGAGAAACCGAGAAAATTCGCTGGAAGATTCTTATCTTATAAAATATTTGATAACAAAACTCAATAGAATTTCAATTGAAATCTACTAGAATTTTCCATCGCATTCGCAATTTTTTGTGCGTGCAAAGAATAAAATTTAGATTCATACATCGATAAAATAATAAACGAGTAAAATAATAAATGTATGAGTGTTAATAAAATTGACATTCGTACGTAATTACTCTACAATTTGTTTTATTAAAAGATTAAATACTTTCAACAGGATTAATAGCCACACTAAAATCATAAAAATCATCCTGCGAGACGCAATCCTTGCATCGGCAACTTCCCCCTAATATCCATCATCATCCCCAAATTATCATAGAGGAAAGACAAGTGAAGTCCATCACTCGAAAGATATGCCGATAATTTTGGCAAGAGAGCACATACCATTGGGGGTACGAAAACCGGTGTCGATGAGTAATCCCAAATGTTGTCATTCGGGATTTGATGACGTTGACCCGTTCGTCAACCAAGTTTTAAAATAAAGTTCTGTCTCATAAGACTCTAAACAAAAAGCGAAAAATAAACTCTGCCATATACGACGGTAGCTGCTCGTGCTAATCCAATGATGCATGTCAAATTCACCCACGCGTCCCTCTGAGTAATTCGACATTCAGCCGAAAATGACATGTGACCATGTGTAATGTGAACTATTGTATCCTTTCCTCATCAAATCATTTCTTACTTCAAGACTTTTCTAGAAATCCATTTTCGTCATCACATATCATCAACTATAATTGTAATTATAACTATGTTGAAATTCAATTGTCCTTTTTTTATCACTTTCATTTTAATTCACTCATCGTATTGTACATTTTCCTATTAGACTGTTAAAAAATGTTGTCTGAAATTTCCGGTACACTTTTTGAAAATTTTTATCCAATTTAATTACCACTGAAATTTCAAGGAATTTCATCATTGAAAATTCAGAATTTCTTGGAAAAATCAAAGAGAACTGTCAATTTCAGTCCCATTTTTCCTGAAAATGATTTGACAACCAAAAAATTCCGGTAAATATATTCTTGAATTTTCAGGACAGTGAAACTAAATGCGATTTAGGGGGGAAAAATCATAAAATTTCAGATTTCACTGAAAATTTAATGGAATTTGGCACTGAATATTCATATTAGATTGGAAATTCAAATAAATTAAGGAATTCTCGCCTTTATGCTGCTTAAAAATCTTGAATTTTACTGAATTTTCAGTGAAACCTGAAATTTCATGATTTTATTTCTCTTAAATCGTATTCAGTGTCATTATCCTGAAAATTAGGAGTGAAATGTCCATGAAATTTAATTTTTTTTCTAACAGCACACTATAAATAATGTGCTCATGTTATAATTCCTACAGGGAGCGAAATTTTTTAGAAAAATTCTAGTACTAGTACGGAAAAAGAGGCGCAAAGTGACGGCCAGGAAAAAATTCCAGTGCCGAGACTAGAAATTTTATTGGGGAAAACGTGAATTTTTCCCAGTATTTCTGTGAAAATTTCACAGAAGTCCCCAAAAATTTGATCAGAAATACCAAGAAATTTTACCTTAACAGCACTAGAATTTTTCACAGACAGTGGATTGTGATTTTTTCCAGTACTCGTACTAGAATTTTTCTAGAAAATTTCTCTCCGTGTATGCTCACTGAATAACATTTTAATCATAATTACAATTCAAATCCTTCTAGAACACACTTTAGAGTGTGAATTTCTGGAATTCACTGTTTGTTGATACTCCAGTAAAAGTGCGTACCCACACTGTTATAAATATTTAGTTAGTTCACACGGTAATTCAATTAATCTGTTGTTCATCTCATCAATTTAATTCCGTGAAAATTAAAAATTAAAACATTATTTGGAATATTGAGGGACAGCTTCTTTTTGTTTATATCAGAAATTTTGTCTTTGGATATTAATATTATTTGCTCAAAATGAAAAAATCGATCATCGTTTTCACTATATTGCATTCAGATTCTCCTATCCTCACGGAGAGAAATTTCGAAGAAAAATTCTAGTGCTAGCACTGGAAAAGGGGCGCAAAGTGACGGCCAGGGAAAAATTACAGTGCTGGTACTGGAAACTTTATTGGGTGGAATGGGAATTTTTCGCGTACTTAGATGAAATTTTCACAGGTATATCAATAAAATTTCCAGTGCCAGCACTGGAATTTTTTCCTGGCCTGTACTTTGCGCCACTTTTCCAGTGGTAGCACTAGAATTTTTCATCGAAATTTCTCTCCGTGCTTAACGTCAAAAACGTGAGATAATCTCATAATTCTCGCTATTAATTATAATCAACTTTGTTCGAAGAAAACCTTAGTAAACGCAATATTAAGAAAGTAGAATTATTCGATTTTCCTCTGACCTTAATGATTTGGACAATTATGATTCGCTTATTCATGTTTCATAGAATGGTGTTCAATTTTCTTTTGTTTGTTAGGCGGGCTTCATGAAAATTCGATGCAAGACGATTGTACTAATGAAAATGGCCTTACTTTCTCCATTCGTTCGAGATATCCGCCATGTTCGAGTTCCCATTTTCTATTCGAGATATTGGGCATCCTTTTTTTTGCAAAAATTATTATTTATTATTGCTGGTCGAAACAGTGATAAACACTAAGTTGTTATCATGTGCAAAAACTAATGGATTTTCGAGTAGATCGAATAGATACATTTTGTTGATCTATTTTATGTTCAATTGACAGAGAGCTTAAAACGAATTTATAAATAATTATGATGAAATAATTAAAGCAATGGAGTAAAATCATCAGAGTAGATTTTTCAAGCAAAAACAAACAGAATCTCTCGTAGATATTTCGCATGGGAATGTTCACAACTTAAATGGGTCATCCACACGTTACTTATGCAGTAACATGGCAAAATTGCCAAGGTTTTCCAAGGCCCATGCATATGATGTATTATCCCCAGTAGAAAAAGGAGTCAAGGCCATCAGGTGACACCAAACTGCTCCAGAACAAGAAAATTTATAAATAATTTAATTTCCAACTTGGCGCAGCCCCTGTCATATAATTCATACCTGGTGAAATTGTTCTACAAACTCGAGGGGGATATTCAAGCTAATGTGCAACAAGGATGAAACACATCGGAATAAAAGAAAATAGATGTATGAGTGGATGATGAGAAAAAAGGTATCCGGCTAATGAGAGTAAGACAGAGTTCACGTATACAACATATAGATTGTAGTAGTCAGTTTGGTAGCGGTTCTGGCAAGCCCAGCGCACTTATCTAAATATAAACTATCGCCCCTCACTGCTGAATCTATCTTTACGTATTAGAATGTATAGCGACCTGAAGGCCCTAGGTATATGCCACGAATCGCCATTCTCATGCAGCTGTCGTCGATGGATGGACCAGTGTTATTCAGTTTTTTAAAGTCACATGGGTTAAGATCACCTCTCGGGATCAGCTATCTCACTTATTTCACGGGCGTAAAATGATTCTGGACGTATACGCTGAGAAATAGAGGATTTGAATGAAAATAAAATTGTTCAATTGAAATTTTTACAGATTTTTTGGAAAAGAGAAATTTTTGAGAGATATTATCTTGAAAATCTCTGAGAATTTTACTATACGAAAGATCATTGACGAGTAAAATTTTTAAAAATAAAAAATACATGTATGAAAACATTTCACAGAAAAACCATTCTATGCGGTTTCTATTGAACTTTTCAATTAAAAATATTCTATGCAAAAAGCTTTCTATACAGCTTATTGTATTGAGATATTTTGTATAGAATTTCCCCGGCTCAAATTTTCTAAGTCTTTTTCTTTGATTTTGTTGATTAAAAGAAAAGATAAATACAGTGAAAAAACTTTCAAATTCAATAATTCCAATGAAATAAGTTGTATAGAAAAATTGAATTTTATTGACTTTTTTACAGAATATTTTCTATTGAACATGTCAAAACAATCGGCAAAAAACTAAGTTGAATTGAAATCCAATAGATTTGTCTAGCGAATTCGCTAAGTTTTTCTATTATATTTTTTGGTATGTGTACTTTTTGTGGAGGATATTTTACGATTCCATCCCCAAAAAAAAGACATGGGAATGGATGAAAGCAAAAATTTACTGCAGAGAGTTGAGTAAAAAAATGTTCTCTGTTGCAGAAACATTTCTAGACATTAAATAAAAATTTATGTTCTCTGGCGTATTTTTCTATGGAATTGCGGATAAATTTAAAAAAAAGCGGAATCCCTAAAAATTCACAGCTTGTTTCGTATTTTTCCTCGATATAGAGCCAAAAAGACTTAGAACTGAATTTCACTTCACGATTACTTGATTTGTTTAATAATTTTTCCACAATTTTTTCTCCGTGTGGCAATTAACAACCCCCTGAATTTATTTCAAGCGTCTCCATTATATAAAATTAGTAATTCACTCATTCCAAACTCCAAGTTGATGAATTGATTTTTCGATAATTTTTTCATGATTTTTCTTGAATAATGTCAAGAGTACGCATGCTTCTAATTCATTAACAATAATAAATAATGCCCAGTTATAAATAATGTCATTATCCAGCTTTTTGGCGCTGAGAATTCAACTCTTATCATCAGAGCCATCATACTTCAGA